AAAGTAAGTTAGAGAAAGTTTTAAAGTCTAGTTAAGGCAAATAGTTTTGACTCGATACTATAAGGTCAACGTGTCAACATCAGCACGACAAAAGCACGAGTCTTTGTCTTAGTCCTAGAGAGAGAGAGGGGGGGTTGGGTGGCTTCTCTCCTGTTTTGGTAAAATCCCAGAGTAAGGAGCGCTCTAACTGAGGAGTGAGCGAGTCAATATGACCGATCCCCTGTAAATACCGACGACTGGTGACGTGAAGTGGAAGGCTTTAGCGAGAGTATGCAGTGTGGAATGTGGCTGAAATACTGACTACAGGAATGGATAACTTTTACCTGTCACATAGTTCTTGCAAGTACCTACTGACTTAGAGGATGACCATGAATGCTCTAATCGACTTAACGACACAGCGATCAATCTAGATTAGTCATTGTATCAAGATTCGCGCTTTTAAGCACTAAATTAACGGCGGAACCACTTATGAATCAAAGAAATCAATACTGCTATAATCACTAATCGGGACCATCACACAAAGTCAGTTATTTAACAATGTAATGTTAACAATGTAATACTGGCATGGCAACTTATAAGTGTTAGACGACGACTTGTGACCCGCACCAATTCATTTCGCAGCCCGCTAACCAACAACCAACAAGTTTGTTTCAACAACTTATTAATTAGAAGTTGAAACACTACAAACACGAGAGGTAACATGAGACTGTTAATCTGTAGGCCCGACACTTAACAGTGAAATCATGACGATGAAATCATGACGGGCCCATTATTTCCATTCTAATTTTACCCAGGATCTTGATTCCGAGGGACTAACGGCAATCACATGATCTTCGAAAGGTTCAGAAACAAAATCTTTGTCGTTTCGACTATATGTTTCTAGAGCCCCATAAAGATGTTTTTTGATAGCCAGTCAGTAAATTACACAATAGGAAAACAGACGGAATAAAGGTAAGTCTCCATTGCGGGCCCAAATTAAAGAACTCAAATCTTAACAATTCAAATTGCCGTTTCAAATTGTAGGACTATAATTATGAAACACCATTTAGAATTGGAACAGCACAAAAGGGAGGGAGTGGACAACTACAACCCCTCGTTAACAATAACCATAATAACAATAGAATATTTACAATTTATATATAATACAAATAAATAATACTGAAAGGGGCAGGGGGCCGTGTCGTTTATCCCTAATATAGGCCTATAGACCTGGGTCATAATGACACAGTGAATGTACTAATATTCTGTATATTACAGTATTATTAGAGATCAGGAGGAGTAACAACAAGGGGGCCGTAGTCCGACTGGGGTTATTAAATGGTACCTGAGACGAGGCGTGACGTCATAGCACGAGGCGTTACGTCATAGCACGTGGTGTGACGTCACACGCACTATCAGGGGTATAAATAGCTCGCTTACCACCTGGGAGACTGGCATAAAGCGGTCAGGCTTTATGGAGCGTGCAGTCTATTGGTTGAGTAATTTTATATGTATTGATATCTATTATCATTAAACTGAAGACAATGACGGAGACATGGTCTATCAACCATGCGGACTGTTAGCACAGCACATTATCTAAACAATAGCAGTCTTTCAAATGTTCAATGAGAAAGTATAGACAACGTAGGAGTCTATTAGTTGTGGACATTTCATTTTAATCGTTCCATCAATCCATTACAAGTAATGAACACAATAGCAATCTATCAACCGTTCATTTAAGTGCCCAAAACGGCCATCAAAAATGTAAAAGAAAGAGAGAAAGTTGAGACAGTGCAGAGTAACTATATCTCAGATCACTACTGAATATAACTATATAAAACTATATATATATAGTTTTATATATATAACATATATATATAGTTTTATATATATAACACAAGAGATAACATATTACCACTCACTGTGACCCACTTCTTACAATTAAACAAGAAACTACGGTCTAAGAGTACTGCTGAACTCTAATGAGGCGAATCAAAACCACGTGGTAAGAATAACAGTTAAATATCGAATTACAGTATTTAAGGTATTAGTCAAGTGGTATTAAAGTCAGCTAGGGGTACAGTAAGTAAAAACTTAAAAGAAAGAGAGTTTAATGGTACTTAACCAATCATCGAGCAAAACTTAAAAGAAAGACAAAACCAATCGAGCGACTAAGTTGAGACTTGAGAGAAGTAAAGTGAAGGATGCCAGCAGCCAGGACACCGGCAGCCAGGACACCAGCAGCCAGGACACCGGTACCCAGGACACCGGCAGCCAGGACACCAGCAGCCAGGACACCGGCAGCCAGGACACCGGCAGCCAGGACACCGGCAGCCAGGACACCGGCGGTACCACTAACATCAGTTAGTGGGATAGTGGCACTAATATGAGTAGTATAAGTGATATGGTGTAGTGTGTGAGATATCACCACAGACAGGGTACTTCCTCCTCCCCTCAACAGTACTAATATTACTGTCAGCTAGTCAGCCTAGTACGGGGTGATAATACTGCCAACATAGCCCACTATCAACACAGTTACAGTAACGAAACATTAGCATTCTCATCCTTCTTCTTTCAGGGGATACGAGAATATGTGAGAAGGTTTAGAAGATGATCAAGCTCAGATGATAGAGTTGCATTTGATACGTGTCGACCGCAGCTGTGGTCGTATATTTTAAACCAACTAAATACGCAACTCTACAACATCCTGTCTTTAAAATTACTCAATAACTCTGTCTCTCCCCGTCACAGCAGCAGAACTGCAGGAGTGCTCTCGCCGGGACACTAATTATACAACACGAAAGTAGTGCACGTAAAGAGTATGACCGTGTCACGCACACGGAACAAATGCACACTTCAACAGTGATGATATTTTACAACATTTCAACATTATTACTGAACTGGTGACACTGCGTTTAAACAATATGAGCTCTCTTTTGTGCTGTCTCGTTAACGTTATTAAGAGAACAATGTTAATAAATCTGGTGAGGATATTGAATATCTGAGGGTGTCATTGTGAGAGAGTTAATGGCAATTATGGTGGCATTATAGTGGCATTAAGGTTGCATTAAAGCGGCATTATAGTGGCATTAAAGCAGCATGCCGGCACAGTTTACCACCTCATTATCACGCCAATGCAGGACACCGTGGTTGTCAATACACAATAATGACACGTCTCTTCCAATCTAGGTATTGAGTGGTGAATTAGGCAAAACTAAACTCTCGGCTACTTGGCCTGATGACAACTGGACCGTTCTGTCAATGACTTTATACAGCATGTTGAAGCGGACCAGATGTAAATTATCAGGGTGGTGAGCTCGGACAGGTTTCAGCCAACACCTTTCCAACTGATTTGTTCTGGAGTAATGTACACTGTACAATGGAGGTGTCCATTGATACAGGTGGTTTAAAACTCAGGAAATAGGCCGTTAACGAGGCAATTCTAACCCTGAAAGTTCTGAACCAAATGAAAGTCATGACGTCACTTCCCCCATGACGTCACTTGCCTTGCATTACAAAACCAAACCAAAACACGATACCGGATACATGTTACGTGGTATACCTTACATTACACAGTAATAATACACCAGCATAATATAATCGAACATGGGAGCGAGCAAATCTCGCATTTCCTCCTCCACTGCCGGCCTACCTTCAACATGAGCCATGAGAGCTAATTAACAGGACAATTATCCACTTAATTATCCAATTACCAGCTCATCATCGAATTATCAGCTCGTTATCGAGATTAGAGGAGGCCCGGGACCCCGGAACTCTCCAGAAAGTGGTCTGTTTAGCAAGAAGGTTATTGTACTATGCGCCCTCAAGATACGCTATATAGAGACGATCTATAACAATGTATAATTAGGATATCTATTTCTACCTCATCATTATTTCGATGAGATGCACATGAGGGGAGATCAGGGATAAATGAATATTTAGAATATACATTAGTACTGCTATCTAATTTTATGGAAATTAGAGCCCGCTGAGAGAGAGAGACAAATGATTTGAGGTAACTAGGGTAACCTCACTAAGGTAACTAAGGTAACCTCACTAAGGTTCAAGTTATAAGCCCTGGCAACAAAAAAGGTGACTGGTAGCAGCAAAATAAGCTGTTGTAGTTAGAAAATGACCTGTTCGTGTGGCTGTGAAGTGAAGCGAAACTAACTGCTGAGTAGGTCCACACTAACGAGGTAGTATAATGGGCTCAACTCTGCCGGTGAGTACAGCTCACTCTCAGCTACCTGGCACCTTCTTTTATGTTATAGTATTATCATCAGCCTTGCTACAGGTCATTACTGCGTAACTCTGTGAGGAGGAGGAGGTTTTGTAATATCTATTTAAGTAGTTAGCTGGAGGGTGTTGAATATCGGTACGTGCCAGGTGGTTAAAATCATCAATTCTAACAGATTGTTCAGATCACGAGTCAGTAGTAGGTACTGTTATAGTGGCGACCAACTAGACCATGCCGTTGAAAAATGAGATGTTTTGGTGATATCTTTGGGTTGGATCACAGTGTAAGGTTAGTAATATATCTAAAGAGTTGTTTTGTGGGATGGTGTAAGTTTGAGTTGAATGAGCACACTTTGCTGTGCTAATACCACTATTTATTATGCTACCTTTTATGGATTTATTTAGTGAAAATAATGTTGAAGTTTCTGAATAACGCCAATTTTCCTTGTCGGCCACTTGTTATTCCAAAATAAACCACTACTTTCCAGTAACTGAACAATCAACCTCTCCGCCTATCTTAGAAGTTACAATTTACATGTTCAATAAAAGATAACCCTAACACAAGCTACTAGAACATGAGCCCCCCCCCCCCCCCCCCCCAACACATGTAACATACACACTTGGAGATCAGTGGAACAAGACTAAAGATTTGCAGTTACTAAACGTTATACACAGTTCATTGTATTTATAAGACAAAACAGAACAAGATGTGATGTTGAATCTAAAACAGATTACCATAAAGATAATTAGTTAAATAAATAATTACACTATTAATCATCGCTCACCTGATGTGATGATCCAATTCTGATTTCTCCTTGCGTACTTGCTAGCCTTCTGTATGGAAATGTTAATCAACAACTATGATCTGTAAAAATTGAGAACTTGCAAGAAAATAATGACAGGAAATCTACCATATTCATTAATAAAATAAGATACAGGATTGTTGGCAACCGTAAGGAATTTTTGGGTTAAAAAATCTTGATATCACTTCAATACAAAATTCCAACTATCTTGAATAAATTTCTAACGTTCAGGAATTTTCATTGGAAAATTTTGATTGATCATGCACACCTCATATCATAGAAGATATCAGATGTCGTATTTCCAAAAAAATAAGTCTGTACGCGGGAGAACGAATACAAAGAAAAGAAATCAAATATACAGGACTGAGGACGTACGCACCCAAAATAAATTCACGCACTCTTATAGTCGAACATTACAAGATGTAGCTCAATTGTTTCACCGGTTTCGAGCCCCTTGCTATAGAGACTAAATATCGGGGGACAAATCTTAATATTTATAGCGGTCATCCTTCAAAGGCATCTAATAAATAGCTGAATATATAGTAAATTGAAGAGCAATCCCTCGTAGGATGAATATATAATATAAATAGTTTGGCGTAATAGTTGGGTTATCGAAGATGAGCGTTCTGAAAGCTTTTACGAAATGAGAAAAAGTTGTATAAACACACACCTTGACTGTTCTCTCAACAGTTCTTCTAAATGCTCTCTCTCTCTCTCTCTCTCTCTCTCTCTCTCTCTCTCTCTCTCTCTCTCTCTCTCTCTCTCTCTCTCTCTCTCTCTCTCTCTCTCTCTCTCTCTCTCTCTCTCTCTCTCTCTCTCTCTCTCTCTCTCTCTCTCTCTCTCTCTCTCTCTCTCTCTCTCTCTCTCTCTCTCTCTCTCTCTCTCTATCTCTCTCTCTCTCTCTCTCTCTCTCTCTCTCTCTCTCTCTCTCTCTCTCTCTCTCTCTCTCTCTCTCTCTCTCTCTCTCTCACTCACTCTCTCACTCTCTCACTCTTTCAGTACAAAGTCAAACTGTAACACTGACCTATCAAATATCAGATACATGCGAACAGCCCGGAGTGCCTGCTTTTAATCCAAGGTGTCAAAAGCTTTTACAGTAGTTTATAGCGCGGTAGCACATGGCGTGGGAAACAGGTTCACTTAGCGAGGTAGACTGGGTATAATTAACACTACCATGTTGGCATGTTAGTTCAGATACTCTTAGTTCACTCACTTTCCCTTAAAATGCGGGCTTACTCGTAACCGGTCCGAAACTTCAAAGGAAATAATTTTACATATCTTGGCTCTGAAAGGAGTTTGCAGTGCGAGATTGGATCAGATCCCTTTAACCAGGCTTAAACAATTGTCACAAGCTTTTCATTAGTAAAGAGCAGAATTTCGGCAGAATGGGTAAGATGGTCGAGTGCAAGTAACACAGCTTAGGAGTTATCTTCTTTATTTTCCTTATCTTTTAAACGGTTCAACGTAACTAAAGGAAACAGCAAGCAAAGTAGATTGAAGCAAACCTAAGTTTTGACTTTTATGCAGATGCAGCTAAACTTTAGATTTGCTTCCCACAAAGTTATACGTAAAATATTTACGAATATTTGGCAACTGTTGCTATCTGATACGATACCTGCGATACTTAAGCATAATTCTGTTCGACCAATAGAACTAACTTACGCGAAATTCTTTAAATTAAACTGTTTAAAAATTTCAAGACAATTCCAAATGTCACACTGCCATGCAACAAAACAAAGTTAGGTAACTACGTATTCTTGGACTAGGATCTTGCAAAAATATGCCGGAAATTTAAAACAACAAATCACAATACATGAAGAAAACAAAGAGCGCGATTTTAAAACGTTAACTAGTTTTGAGGGTTACCGGCAAGTGACAGGTGTCAGGGGCGTAACTCAAACTATTAATAAACTTCGGCCCAAGTGACAAGGATGTCAGGACAGAAATTGCATTTTATATGTAGGAAACCCTAGCGAGATTCGCACATTATTTCCGTTAAACCGACAAGCTCTGGGAAATTAGGATGAAAAGTCGCAGCTGGCAGCTCGGAGGTTACACTTAGTCTGAGCCGCCACACAATCACTGCTCTACAGCACTACGGTAGTACGATCTGTGATGAATTTTAGAAGTAATTTTCCGCGAGGCAATTACACACACCTCACAAATGTCACACAAACTCGAGCTGTTAAAACTTTGAGAATAACAATATGCGAAATGTCACCAAACCTGGAGGATGGGTTGTATGAGAGAACATAGAACCAATTGTCCTTGTCAGAAAGGTATTCCTCTAACGTCTGTTCGGGCAGATTGTTCAAATGTTCCACCCTGCATTTGCCCCTGAGGAATTTGAATTATTTACGTGTATTCACGTCAATAATATATTCTCTTAAAACATCCCTTTCCGTATTAGGAAACGAAACTATGTTTGGGACCATAACTCTCGGGCGATTAGACATCCGATTTGTCGATAGGCCAGGTCTGAAGGCGTAAAATCGGTTGATATGTCTTTCGTACAACACAGCGACACCTCATTTTACTGCACTTGCATCAATGAACTGTTGACATGTGTGACAGATGCGTGCGCTTTTGGACCAAACGGAATTTCCGCCAGGCGCTGAGTTTGTTCTGAATCTGGTTACAAGAGAGTTTTAACTTTAAGCCGAAACTTCGAGTAAAATTGACGTTAAATTAATCATCTTGCATTCAATTATGTCGATTGTTAGACATTCAAATCGAATTTGAGCCAGTTAATGGAATTCCAATTACCAACACATGATTACTGCGCGAATTTTCAGGCGCGCAAGATGACAATCTCAATGCGTACTACAGAATCCTTGGTTTAACAAACCTCTAATCGCGCGTTACACAATACAGCGCGTTCCGTGCGGTCTTATTCCCCTAATTAGCGATAGAGAATTGAGTAGTAAAGAAAGTGACTTGCGGGCCTTGGTGTAGTTTTCAAGGTCCATCCACTAATTCATAAGATAATACAGGTGCTATGTAGACTATCACATTGCGGTGCCAGCTGTGTCCAACTGCAGTTTGCTATTGTCACAGTAAGTGGTGGGCCCGAACTGTCTGGTGGTTATAATGTATCCCTCTGGTTTAATTGGATATGGTAATTTCGAGTACATTATTAAAGAACACCTGCTGAAAGCAAAACACTTAGATTGGTAGCGCACGCCAATATTTGTATAGTTGCAGCCACAAATTGCATTCACGCCACTTTGAAAACTGGTCCGTAATTGAGAAAGTACACTGAAATTAAGCAGTCAGTTAGTTAGTAGTTACCTGAGAGCTTGAAGCGAACAACAGTCTGAGTAATCTGATGAGAAGAGCTCTTTTCCTTTGAATTGAGACGCTTCTAGTAACTTCATCTTACCTGAAAGACAAATTTTCTTAAGAATTTGGAGTTAAGGAAACAGGAAACTGTACGCATATTTGATGGCTGGATAAATACTAAATAGTTGTTGGTTAACCACAGAGCGGAATCTTGCTCAAAGCGTATGGCGATATATCTTAAACTTAGTATTTAATAAAAAGGTTTTTTATAGGATGTACTACTGACTACTGCCAAATTATGATCTTATTTAACCTGTGAAAGTTCCTTATAAGTTGGTATGGATTCAATGATTATCTATCATTAATTGATAGCGCGGTATAAAATTGTATTATATAAATGTATTTATTCATTATAGTGGTCACTAGTCCTAGTCATCTGCCATCCCCTACCAATTCAGGAGTACCAGCAATACACTGGCACACGTCATTTATGCTCCGTAACTTTAATGAGGATGTGCAGAGAAGTGATCATGTGAACCGATCGGTGACTGATATTCTCGTGACGTACGTGACAAACGATCATAATTCGATTAATGTGTCGATTGTAATAAATTGTAATATTTTAGAAATTTGGCACTGATCAAGGTCCCTTTGGTAGCGTTTCTTCACAATTTCCACAAAAATTCAGATGGAGATTATTCGTTAAAAATTAATTTCGGTACATTAAGCCGGATGATGTTTGGAGTTGCAAGGAAACAATCGAGATCAATCTAACACAACTCTTTCCCTGGCCTCATTATATTAGGACCATTATGGCACTTTCAGAGGAATGTTAATGAAGTTTATTTACCGACTTCAGGAAAAAACCAGGTACCATGAAAAGTTTGGTCCGTCCTGGTAGGTACTGGTTGGAGTCAGGAGACACGTGATGCCCATATAAGGAGTGTATTGCACTTGTAGCCTGAGAGGGAACCCTACAAATATTATAGGTATTTGCGCTTTTCTTTAAGGTAAATAACCTGCGACTAAACGTTTATTTTACTGACGTAACCTATAATTAATGCTAAACCAGTCACCAGATGCACTTATACCCTTAACTACACCACTACACCAGTCTATATTACACTAGTCTATATTATACCAGTCTATATTATATACTAAACAGTCTCTTTCTATAATTATTCTCAGGGTCCTTGAGGCGAAACTTTTCTCCTCAAAGGAAAATATCCGCAGATTTGAATTAACCACAACAATGTAACTTTGATCCATCACGGATCATGGACTGACCACAAATCATGTTTATAATTGAATTTCTGAAAATGTTCCTTCAGGTTTACCATTATTAAATCAATCAGGCTAAAGCCCCCAAATATGTTGATAAATATAGTGGCAAATTTAATCTCTTTACTTTCTTAATTTTGATAGCGACCGTACGGAATACGTAACATGAAATATGTAGATTCGAGACCATTGTTGACGTCGATCAAGGAGTACAACAGGTCAACAGACATTAACATCTGTCGCGGTAATTATTTTTCATGTTCTAGTGTGTTCTTGGTTTGTAAGCTTCTGTAAGAGAGCTGACTTACAAAGTCCGCTGGATCCTCTTTTCAGTGTTCCAGACCGTTCTACGACTCAACAGTGTAAAGTTATTAATTTCAGAAAAAGCGCTAGAAACTTCTATCTTTTCCATTCTTTTTCCGGACTGAGGATTGTTAGAGACACAGTGCCACAGTGTGGTACGTGGATAAAAAAGCGTGGCAACGTAATGGTCAAGTTATTCATGAAATGAACCTGAACATGGGTGATTGACAAGCTGCCTGTCCAGGATTTAACATTCCCTTGACTGTGAGCGGTGACACTTTAATTATTACACATTATTTCTACGCCAAATCACAAAAGTTATACAAGCAACGAAACAGGATTGTTTTCTCCCTAGACAACAGACATTCGCAGGTATGCGTACGTGATTTCTAATATCATAGTCACAGAGAGTGACATCACCTCACGGCGGCGGGGGATGAAAGCGGCTGAAACGTAATTACATTACCATAAAACTGACAGGCTTACTCTAAACTCGTGTGTTTCTAACGCTCTTTCGGAAACTCGGCTGTGACAGAGATACAGTATACAGCGTATCTTAATTTAGTCGCTAAATTAACCGACTTCCAAATTATTGTCTATAAGAATCCTTTTATTGTTTGCTTCCTCAATGTTGTCCGAATAAACCAGTCTGCAGAACCTGCAAAGTGCAAATGAATTGCTCCTGGCACACAATTTATGCACTGACGCGATGATTGCGATTAATATCTAGAATATCATTTGATATTAAAATGACAGAAAAACGCTTTCCTAAGAAACTTATTGTTCTTCTTCAGAAGGAAGGAGGATTAATTTCGTCGCGGTAATATCCAACTTTTTCATTTCATCCTGGCATCGATTTTCTCAGTGGGAGTAAAATAAAATGTGGGAGTAAAATAAAATGATCGTTGTGGGCAATATTCTAGAAAGTTCTAATCCATTATCATTCGACTAATTGTTTTCTGGTCCTAAGATTAGCTAAACGATAGGTATTAAGGTAAATTCAAATTATTAGAAATTCTGCGGAAACATAGTACTATTCCAATTTCCGCAGAAATATGTAACTTGTGACTTGTCATTATGAGTTTGTATTTCTATAGCGACGATGCTCACCCTCAAGTTTACTGAAAACCAAAAGTTTTTGTCAACTCATTCGCTGTCACACAATAATGCCAACTTTTAGCTGTACTGAGCTGGGCTCCCTTGATGGATATGAAATTTAGAGACCACTGACAATTTAGAGAACATTGCACAAACTGATCTAATAACGGGCTCATTTGAGGTTGGTATCTGTTTGAAACGCGCACTGGAAAGTAATTGTAAGTTTCTAGAGTTATGTGTGTGACGCATGTTCACTGAGCTACAATCTATAAATACCCGCCTAATAACCCCTGAAAGCTAAGTCAAGGCACGGAACTCTCCAATAACTGGGCCCCGTAAAAATGTATTTTCATCTCTTTGTAGCAATGTCCGGTGTATAGCCACACAATATCAGGCTAGCTTCACCAGCTCAACTATTTCTCTCTCAGCTCCCTCTTCTCGCGTTATTAGTTGTCCCCTTCTAAAACCTATGGTACGTAACATAACATGATAGTGCTGAACCAGCTATGTAACAGTGTTTGTTGTATCGCATGTTATTGTTAATGCTGCAAGACTGCAAAGACTTGCTGCCATCAAGACTAACTCGCACTATATGTAGCTACTATTGCCAAGTTATCAAGGATATCCGGGACTACGGGGACTTGAATAAATTAATAGATCTAGATGAAAGGATATTTTACAGAGCCGTTAATATCCATATTATGAATAGTATTTAATGGACCACGCGATTCTGAGAAGCATGAAACAAATAAGATATTCATACTTTTAGAAGTACGCCCTAATGTGACGTAAGTTATTTCCATATTAATGAATACTATTACCATAATAACAATGGTCAGGTATTAGATGTGGCGAGGATTTGTAACATGTTACCTCTCTGGTGGCCGGAGTAAGAATAATAATGTTGATTTGATCTCGTACAAGTTAAAATACTTACTTGAATTATCAGTAGATCTGTCGTTAAGGAGGGTCTGATAGATAGTCTCCGGCAGCTCACTCGTCCTGTAGAACCACTCTATCAGAACTGATTCACGAGGTTTCTGAAACGAAAGTGTGGTTTTTAATACCAGCACTGATACCTTGCTCTTTGGAATATGAGTGTTAAATTCCCTAGAACTCTAGTTTACACCACTCGGCCAGCTCTCTCTCTCTCTACAATTGCTAGATTCATGGCTGCTTTCTCCACACCCACAGTCACATATCACCCTTTACTATACGGAGAGGTGAGAGGGGCTTCTCTCTCTCTCTCTCTCTCTCTCTCTCTCTCTCTCTCTCTCTCTCTCTCTCTCTCTCTCTCTCTCTCTCTCTCTCTCTCTCTCTCTCTCTCTCTCTCTCTCTCTCTCTCTCTCTCTCTCTCACTTGTTTTAACACAGTCTGAGTTCAGCAATTCAGCTGAGTAATATATTGTATACAAGCTCGAGAACACAAAACAGCTGTGACACTCATGATATAGCATGTTGTGTAGATAAACAAGGTTGGAAATTGAAAGATCATAATATATTATTATTTATGACGTTGAATTGAGCTCAATACAGAAAACTTAACTCAATTTCATTACGTACATGATAATTAAACTCAAAAGCAGGGCTATAATTCCAACATATTATATCAATATCTTAGAGCATAACTCTCACCTGTTTGAGCTCCTTGACGGTGCCGATGTACCATGGAATATCAGGCTTGTGACTATCAACGTACACCGTGTCTAGAGATAGAGAGTAGTACATGTATTAGAGGAGGGTCTTTGTGTTATATACTACTTGAGTATTTTACTTGTGCAGTATATGATGTGTGTGTGTGGAGAGGAATGGGGAGGGATTATTTCAGGGGAGGGAGAACTTGGAGTTTTATAGATTTGTGGATACACATTTCTGTTGTTGGATCTTCTATAGAAACTACTTAATGGCCGTGCTTAGACTGAGAGGAGATAATACTGAATATATATAAATGGAGTTTGCACAGAATATGCAACAAGTTCAAGGTGAGGCAAAACATTTGGCACTTGTCAAGAAGCCCGACACAGTGTCGCGGTATTCCAGTTTCCACTGAAAGATACTCAGGTGGAATTCCACCCTAACTCAAATTGAAATATGTTTCGGTGGAATTCAGAGCTGTGTCGGGCTTCTTGGATAATGTAAAAAATTTAAGCTATGTGAAAGTAAAACCATAAGAGGTATATATATTTATGTATCGTATACCTCCAATGCAATAATCAATTCCATCAAAGCTACAAAGAATATTTTTCTTGGCTCCAGTTTTTGAGATGGCAGCTTTGTCTGATTTCTTGCTCTCTTGCTGTGTACTGGATAGCACCTTCTTATCCTGAAATTTAATTAAAATTAATCAAATCATAAATAATTGTAAATTATAATCAAATCTACAATCTACATAATATTATATCATATTCAAATCAACATTTAATGCAGGGATTAAAGTTCAAATCACGAACGGTTCAAGTTTGAACTAGTAGAATTCACACTAAAAGGAAGTTTTCCTTAGGGCCTAGACTAAGGACAATTAATACATTGCACATAGATATTAGATATAGTGAATTGCACATATTGTGAACTACTGTTGATTATATAGCGAATTCGCGCTTCTACTGTTCCTGTAGGGCCAGGGACAAACAAGTTTGAACTATGTATAATGTATAATGTATATTGTATATAGTACAAGTAATAACTTCTAATTACTGTTGATCCACATAAGTACGAAATTTCCGACCATTGACATCTTTGAAGACACATTTATCTTTGAAGACACCAACATTATTTTTATTTACCCGTAGCAGATCTGTTAACACTATTTCGCTGCTCTTTGTTCGCGTTTTCAAAATTACACACACGTTTAGTAAAATGACGTATAAAAATGGATAGTGACAACTTTAACCTACTACATATCCATTTTATTAACATATATTCAAAAGTTGGATCGCAAAGAAAATAACATTACAATGGCCTGGGTAGGTAACATTTACAGCAGGTTTTCGTCAGCTGGAGGGAGCACAAATAATTGGAATATAATTTAGAGGGCTTACCAATTGGGCGCCGGAGGCGATGTCAGTTATAAAGAACATCTCGGAACTCATTATCTACTCATTTACGCTTGCCATGATGCTGGACTTGTGGAACCAAGAAATTTCGTTGACAAATTTATATGTCGTCGACTATATTTAACTATTTCTAAAGCATAATTTATCATAATAGACGGGGATTGAGTAAAATTTCAGAATATTTGAATAAAGGTTATTTTATAGTTGTTAGTCGTGTATATACAGTATACACGGCTACACATATTACACTCCGCACTGACCAGATTGTAGATTTCCTTGAACTCAGCCCAAGTAAATTAACAGCACGATTTTCATGTGGTCTAACTTGCAGTGTCCGTAAACTTCCGAACTTTGAGGCATTATCTTGACGGTGGCCACGGTCAAGTCCATTAACTTTCTAACCTTTTATGTAGCGTGTGTACATGCCCAAACTAGGCTTAAACACTTTATATATATCCTTTGTTCTATCATCAACCTCCATTTTTCATCTAAATGCCAAATTGATGACGTTACATCTTTCGACGACCCTCATTCACGGGAAGTATATATATATTCTAGTTTGAAGTGAACTATATTTCACTATAATACTAGTTACAGTAGTTAGTATTTCACCTATTTCTATTTCTGCAGAATACAAAATAACAAGGCCTATTGGGACTAGATCTACTGCTCCATTGTATTGAATCTACTCTAAGCATCATTGTGAGATTATCAAAGATGTATAACATCCTCACTAAACCTCCTGCTTACATCCATACAGAATAGAGATATGCATCACTCTGGGTTTAAGTAGTTATAAAAATAGCGGCTATTTGTATTGGACCATCATTGGTAAAGGGTTCATCATTTATAAAGGGTGTGGCAATATAACCTGCAAACGACATCATGCACATATTGCATTTTATTATTAAGTGCCGATAAATGAAAAGTACTACGGAGGATATTGCAAAGCATTATAATGCAATAGTATTTAATACCTCTATTTAGGCCGTTACTGAGTATTTTTTTAAATTGGCACGGATACTCCCTGTTCAATGTTTGCCGCACCATATTACTGTAACCATAGCAACAAAAAGAGCTTGAAAATTAAATGTTCTATTAGTTTCAATAAAGTGTTTACCCTTTGAAACTCGATCCGATGGTGGACTGTATCCAATAATGCAAAATAACACAACGTGAAAGTAGATACACAATCAGATGTGTAAATTGATAAATTAGCAATGAATACAGATGGTACAATGAATACAGATGGTACGATGAAGCCGCATAACTCCTAAGGTCCTAAATGATCTTATGTGAGATTGCAGTGAAATTCCCAGAATCTCATTGGACTCCAATGGCTAAACGATTCATAGCTTCGTCAGAAGTGCGCAACATTTACCAAAACCATTGTTTGAGTAGCTTTGTAACTTAGAACTTCCTAACATATTCAAACACTCTATGTGGTATGGTTAGCCTTTTCTTTATGATAAAATGGAAGGAGGGCTACCGAATCAGAAACCATTAAAGTTTATGATGTACAAATAAAATATGAACTATATTTCTGCTAATCGTTGATAAAAATTACTTTTCAATTATGTGTAAAATTCGATAAGAATAATACGACAATTGTGGGTCAATGTTTCCATGAACCAAAAGAGAATTGGCAACTTACTAACCTCAGTCCTCAAATTTTTGTTGTACAATTTAAAATAAACATTGGGCATATGATCGGTTGTGTGGTTTAAGGGGGCCGGGGGGGGTCTTCATCAAAATTCTCTCGAAATTGATTTTATAGTTGTTTCTGATAGAGGGGAGTGATATCTATCAGCTGCTTTTGGTCCCATGGAAAAACATTGTTCCTAGCCGAAATTATCGCTGGTCAAAGGTCAGCGCTCATGTGTAATTGTATTGCGCGAGCGATTTTCAATCGCGCGTCCTGAAAATCGAGTCTAAAAATCTATCTTCTCCTACATTTTTTGAGCAATCACCCTGAAACTTTCAGGATATGTTCTAGGGATCATTTAGAAGAGAAGTATCGAGCCGAATTTTGAGATAGGACTCAGAAAATTTTTAAATCGATTTTGAAAATCTTGGACCTGGAAAAATCGTCAAAAAATGAGGTCCAAGATTTTCAAAATCGAATTAAAAATTTTCTGAGGCCTATCTCAAAAATCGGCTCGATACTTCTCTTCTAAATGATCCCTAGAACATATCCTGAAAGTTTCAGGGTGATTGCTCAAAAAATGTAGGAGAAGATAGATTTTTAGACTCGATTTTCAGGACGCGCGATTGAAAATCGCTCGCGCAATACAATTACACATGAGCGCTGACCTTTGACCAGCGATAATTTCGGCTAGGAACAATATTTTTCCATGGGACCAAAAGCAGCTGATAGATATCACTCCCCTCTATCAGAAACAACTATAAAATCAATTTCGAGAGAATTTTGATGAAGACCCCCCCCCCCGGCCCCCTTAACATTATATTTCTACATACCTGGTTACTTGATGAGCTCTCAGAATTGTTCTTTATTCTGTCACTGTTGCTCCTTTGTAATGCTCGTGTTAACCTTCTCTCAGGTAACTCATCACCCATAGTTCCTAAAACCTACACTACGAATACAAAAGTTACATCTAATCAAGCTTATTAATTACCAATGAAGCAGTAAACAGCAATTATATATTACAAGTTCGTCTAGTTTGTGTAACAAGACAAGACTAGTTATGCAATCTCTAAAAAACGATCTCCCTAATGCAGGATTACAAAACAAAAATCAGGGAATAAACATGTTTCAATTGCTGCACAGCTCAAGTAATACTAATATCAATTACAATCTAACTGTACAAAGGTCCTTTGCAGCACACTTGCGCCTCATAGGGCTTAGCGCTCAACAAAGAAGTGGTGAGACCACAGTGAGGCGTGAGCCCTAGTGAGCCCAGTGTCTTAATAATACTCCATCACACACACACATGGTTATAATTACCATTATGAAGTGACTGAAAAGTGTAAATTTCAATTTCAAAACATGAATGAACACACATTGAAGCACTAATAGTTGTGGCACTCAAATTGCCTTTTTGTTCCTAGATTCCAAAACATTTCCCTGGTCAGGATAATGGTTTCTTTTCTAAAGTATTCTCTTTGGTAATTAAGTTATATTAGTCTTCTATTCATACTTATTCAAGATCAAAGAGATCATTATTTTATAAGGATTATATATTAGATATCATTTAAAACATATTTGATAATAAAAACATACCGTAATTGCTTAATTTTCGATCGAAACCATTCAAGCGTGTTATTGCAGCTTTATACAGTGAGTGCCTCATGAAGTCTCATCACAATATGATGAGTTAATGTCGTTGCAGAGTTATTATTAAGGCAACTAATTAACATTGATGAACTACCAAATGATAAAGTATTTAGTGGAATATCATGCAAATCAAGCAGAAAAACAAGATTTGACAAGTTTTAAAAGGCTTATTGCAGATAGAAGAAAAGTGAGAAACTTCAGTACATTTGGGTACAAAACCATCAATTAAACCACTCAGTTCTTTTGCTTCCTTAACTTCAAAGTTTTGTTGGCACTATACCGAAAAACCAGTCCAAAAACTCTTACCAATTTCTTGATTAAATGGTTACTATATTTCTCGCAAATAAATGTATGCACAAACGTAGCACCCAAGGATTTTCACTACTATTAAGTAGATCCTTTTATCATTCTTAGGGAGTCTTTATCAGATCAAGATTCCAACCGCATCCACTCCCAAGTCCCAAGTTGATTTAAAACACAAAACTAAAGATAAATTCGTTTGTAATAAGAGGTAAATCTCTAATCATAAGGCTAGACACCCTTAAAAATACTGTTCCATTGATAAATTAAGATATGAATAAAAATCTGAGTAATGTTTACAGCACTACTAATCTATAATCCAGTTTCTCCCCTAAGAGCGATGACCATGGTAAAAAAAAAGAAAGAAAAAAAGAAAAAAAAGAGGGGACCCCCAACCCATGTAGCTGAGACACCTCACAGCAAGTTGACCAAAGTGGCTCTTGCTTGTGAAAGGTGTATCAACTACCCGCCGAGGCGGTGGGTTGGGAGTCCCCCCTGGGATCATTTCGTCCGTAAATTTCGTCCGATGACCATGGTACTCAAGAGACTAAATCTCACCCTCTTCCACATAGATGTGTTGGCTATAGTTTCTAGACAGCTTCTCAGCAAGATTCTTAAAAAAGATGTTGGTTTCTCTTGCCATTCAACCTGTCGTTGAAATAACCATTGAAGACAATGTTCCATGTTCAACTTCAATAATCAATTTAGTACACATTTTTCTTCTGCCTCATGGGTAGTCCAGTGTACATACTCATTAGTCAGTGGAGATCGAAGAGGTTTATTAGAAGCAGCTTGAGCATGATGAACTCATACATCTAAAAATTTCCTACCCATTTACTTCAATTTAAACACTTTCTTCTGACATAGAAGGGGATCGTTGCTAGCGTCGAGATTGTCTTAACCCTGCCTTAGTCAGTTGAAAGTCTGATAGCATATGTTCCGTTTGATTTGACCAAACTAATGCCTTTCATTGCTTTATAGCTCCATCTGTTGTAGCGCGATGCACTACTGGGTCGCGCCGAGCTAGGAAGGGTTGACATCGTCAATAAACTCTGTCTGCCTATTGTCCCCTTATTATTATCAAACATGTCAATCTTACAAATGTCAACAATCCTAAAATAATTTAGAACCTAAACGTGATCCTTTGTAAGATTATATGTCCCAAAAGTCAAATTGACTTGTACTCAAGTATAAAGTCGAACAATTTACTCCAATAACCACGGTTACTAGCAAGTTCTCTCAAATGAAGAATATCATCATACGACTCCAGCAAGATGAAACGCTTCCAGAGGTCAACCTTCAGGTGGTGTAGGAGGTTACGTCTGTGAGCCCCGAGTCTACCAACTTCACTACACATCTCGCCAGCAAAGCACAGCGCAGCTTGAGCTGGTGATCTTTCATCGCTCCTCAGTATGTGTCCTAGCATCTTCCACCTAGATAACTCAGCACGCTCAGACATAGGGGTAGAGTTACTCTGTTTGTATAGGGTATCTTTGGACATCATACTGCGTGGCCAGCTGACATTCATGATCTTTCTGAGGTGGTTACGGTGACATGCATCTAGTTTGTCCCAGTACGATTTAGGCATTCCCCAGCAACTAGAGTTATACATGAGGATAGATACTACTTGGGCCTCATAGACCTTCAGCTTCTTCTGTAGGGGGATCTTACTCTGGCACCAGACCTTCTTGAAGTTCTGGAATGCTACATTGGCTAACATGATTCTTCTGGTGACATCTTTCCTACTTTCTAGCAGAGAACCCAACAACTTGCTACTGCACCATTCTTCATTCATTCTAAGGGGTTTACCATCATCCATGACCTCATCTTTCCCAGCTATGTAGACGTGTACAAACTCTGTCTTTGATTCATTAATATTCAGATTCCACTCTTTGAACACCTTAGTAGCGACAGGGAGGAGGGCTTCTAGAGCATCTTTGTCTTCACCAAGATATAATTGATAATTTATTTGATAGTTTAGTCTGATATTGATATTGACTATATTGATATTGTTATTATTGAATGAAGTTAACTCCAGACGTACATAATATTACTTCTTTTAACAAAGGGACTTGGAGTATAAACGACCAAGTTAGCATACATTTTCAACCAACCAAGAATTCTGGAGGCAAAGGTGGGTGCGTAAACTTTATGGTCTGTACTCTCCGATCCTGTATCACCCAGGATTCTTTTCGACGTTTTTGGTAAAAGGTATATACCTTCTAGTCAATCTCTTGCTACTCCAAGTCCCCCAAGATTTCTAAACTAAAGTTCGTCCTAGTTATATTATATTATATAAAATATATTTTTTGTTTGCTGTAACTGATACTAAATAAAATTGTTGTTTTCCTGAAATTGTTGTTTTCCTGATGTCATCAGAGTAGGCATCTTCTTCAGGCATGCCGCTAGGACTAATAGGAGGGGTTGGGCGCAGCGTCACGGCACGCAGGTGGTAGCAGGCACCAGCTAGAGTGATTGTGAAACAGAGGCCTGAAACACTATCACCTTGGGGTCCTCCATTGGTGCTGATGAATTCAAGGGAGGTAGCGTTGTTGACTCGCACCTTGATCTTGGTGTTGCTCAGGAGGAATCTCACTAGTCTGATCTCATCTCTTGTGCACCCTGCGTCCTCTAGGAGGTTGAGCACAGTCTGCCTACTGATAGTATCGAAGGCACTGGACATGTCTAGGCCCATCTTGTGGAGAGACCACTCTCTTTCTTTTACGATGCTGATCAACATACGGTGACACCATACCAGGTCTCCACAGCTTCTCTTCTGCTTGTAGGCAGCTTGCCATGGACCTGTGTAAGCGTCTACCTTTGCTTCAATTCTCCTGAGTGTAATGAGGGATAGCAGCTTACGAGCACAGTTACATAGTGTCAGGGGTCTGAGGCTTTTCAGTTCACCAGGAGTCTTGCCAGGCTTTTGAAGAGGGGTGATGAAACATTCTCCGACAGCGTCAAGGAACAGGTTCTCTTCAAAGCAGGTGTTGATGATTTTGGCGTAATGGACACATAGTGCACTCCCACCATACTTGAGGAGCTCATTGGGGGTATTGTCAGGTCCATTGGCTTTGCCGTTCTTGAGGCGTTTAGCAGCGGTTTTTACCTCATATTCTGTGATAGGGCAGTCGAGGGGAGAAGGGGGACCTTCAAACGGATCAAGGGCAGGAAGTAGTGTCCCGTTATAATAGGAAGAAGAACTTCGGTGGTGAAACAGCCGGATGATGATGAATCATCACCCAACCCTAACCCTGTCCGAATCCCTAACTAAAGCAAATGCTGAAACCCTAGCTGACCATAAAAAAGAAGCCAAGAGCCAAGTCAAAAATCATATCAGAACACGATTCAGATTTGATCTGTTAAGAAGTACACTCATTGCACTAAGAGGAATCAGAGGAAGATCAACGGCCCAGAATCTTGAACTACAAGACATTTCCTTCAACCTCATCCCCCAGAAAACGAGCTTTGAGGTCTCCTAGATTTGTTTATGTAAATTTTGATATTTTACTGTACTATTTTATGCTGTATAAAATTTTACGGACGAAATGATTCCAGGGGGGACTCCCAACCCAACGCTTCGGCGGGTAGTTGACGCACCTTCCACAAGCAAGAGCCGCTTTGGTCTACTTGCTGTGAGGTGTCTCAGCTACATGGGTTGGGGGTCCCCCCCTTTTTTTTCTTTTTTTTCTTAAAAAAATTTTTTTTTTTAAATGCTGAAACCCTAACTCTAATATAACGAGAAATTAGGGCAAATTCCTTATATGGTCATATCACGCGATCAAAACAGTTTTCGCCGATATCTCGCCAGGGGAGCATTTTTAACCCTATGTCATGTCGGTGATTCGGAATCAGCGTCCGAAAATACATCAATTTAAGTTACTGGGCGGCGCTCAGCCTGTATGTACTGTCATTCCGCGGATATTGTTTATGAACATAATAGCCTGGGTCAAGTCGGTTTAAACTGTCTGGGGCCCTTTTTTGAGAAATCTCGAAGATCGACTGTAAAGTGATTAAGCACGCTCGGAAACAGCCAGTGGGGTGAAAGTTAACATAGCTATGTGTATATGTTGCTCTAACCAGAGCCCTCTCGCTTGCAGTAGCGCGCGACCTACTTGTGAAACAAGCGCGTCACGCAGTACGCGTAGGCACATGGCTATGTGAAGTGTATATGCGTAGTGCATGACGCGCTACTGCATGCGAGAGGGCTCTGGTTAGAGCAAGGGTGAAAGGTCTAGTCTGTTCTTGTCATACGTTGTATGACCCGCCGCGCACGAGTGTGCGGCTCCCCTGTATCCGGTATCGTAGAAACTCTACATAGTGAAACGACCGTGGTTGATTCACGATGTCAATCCTTCGCAGCTCGGTGAGGCACAGTGGTGCATCTCGCCGATCTAGCGATCTTGCTAGAAGCATTATTTGGTTGCGAGAAGCATTATTTGATGCGCGCGCGACCCAGTAGTGCATCGCGCTACAACATAATTCTTACGACTTTAGCCATACAAATTATATAACTCTCTCTGCAGATCATAGAATTGAGCAAAAATGGCGATGAGAAGAGATTGGAGATAAGAGTTTCATATCAACAGTCATCTTGAACTTTGTCCAACAGGGAAAGTGTATTTGTTACTAAAGATTTCTAATTCTTGTTTCACGATGTCAATCCTTCACAGCTCGGCGAGGCCCTGCAGTGGTGCATCTCGCCGATCTAGCGATCTTGCAAGACGAATTATTTGATGCGCGGCGCGGCCCAGTAGTGGATCGCGCTACAATTTCAATATGTTTTCGTGAAGAAATCATTTAATAATTGATCGGGGAGTTGACCAAAGGCCATTAAAAACTGCTTTCACTCACCATCAAACAATCCACAATCCAAAACGTCACATTTAATGTTTAAAAACAAACGTGCCAAAAAATTATTTAAACAGGAAGTTACCAAAAAAGTGAACCCTTATCCTCATAGTTACTTTAGCCCTCCTTACGACTTTAGATAAAAAATGTTCACTTATCTTGGTATTATATTTGCCAAATACAACATCAAACATACACTTACAGATTACAGAAGCACATAAAACTAAAAGTAAATTGAGAAGTCCGATTTAATCATAATCTATCTTAGGCTTTAAACTTAAAGTTACATCCCCATTCCCTGTAAAGTTTTAGCTCTTATCAGCAATTAAATACGGGTGTCATAGTATATATAGTATAGCATAGTAATCAGTAGCAGTAGGTTTCAAAGATAAATTACTGATTACCACTTGATATTAGTCCTAGCACAAAAACACGATTATCATTTTCCATTTCGGATCCCAAAATAGATCCAAAGAGCCACGAGCGTACAGTTAGTGGTGAGAAAATCTTTGAATATGATGTCTTGACTGGTACCGCGGCGGTTGTCTCGCAATTCCAAACCATGTCATCGATTCTTACGAATAGAATTATATTATTCGATAGCTTAGCGTCTCCATTGTCGTGTTTACAGACTGGTTTGCAGAATACAACACGAAATCTTGTCCGGTGTTGGAAAAAATCACAAATGACCCTCTCAATGAGGGGGCATTTTGTGTGAACCGTCACCTCAATAGTTTTTCCACCTGCAAAAGTAATCATTATCATCATTTATAATATGTATAGTGTATACCGATTATTATGCTAGAATATTTTGTTCTGGTGTTTGCATGATAACCATTCTATAATAGGGTGTTCACATATAATCTGATACTTTTTGGCCAAGTTTTAAACCCCTCCCCTCCGTAATCAGTTTCTAACTATAAAATAAGCCGATCATAAATTCTCAGAATTCGTATCCAGAAATGTTTCGAACCTGGGAAGCTGCAAGGAGAGGTAAAAGAAACAGCAGACGGATCTAAAACAGCATTATAGGTAAAATCTTTAGCGGCGTTTTGTAACTCTGGTTTTATAAGCGTCCAATATGATGAGAGTTTGACGAAAGCAGCTTGGAAGTTGACTACTGTTGGAAAGTAACGGTTAATGACATAATTCACATAATTTACATAATATATCCTAACTTGTAAATATTTTATTGAAATGTTAAATTCTCAATATCTTGCTGTTTTAAAGACGTGCAATGTATGGTGACTCAGTCAACATGACAAACCTGACAAGTTCTTTAGCAGGGAGGACATACCAGAGATACCCTGAAAGTGTTGTCTGATAAAGTTGATAGCACTGCCGCAACGGTTTGTGGCTGCCAGTACATCCAGCAGATTTCTATCTGTTGACAAGTTTACAACACAGTCACCAGAGTTTATCTGATCGAGAGCGTGGCCAGGTGGAGTCTGGTTCACGTTTGTGAAACTCTGATGAATCCCCTGGAACCTGATAAAAGAATGCTAAAGATGAATTGGGATCAGGTCATCAGGTGACTCATATCTTTGTTCTATAATTTGTTATGATACTATTGGGAGTAATGAATTGATGTCAATCATTATGATAACTGAAAAATGAGAATTAAAGTATTGAGATATTTTCTGTCGTACTAAAAGTAATTTAGAAGAGCAAAGAGAATATAATTCCCTTACAATAATAATCAAAACAAGAACCTTTTTCCGAGAATGTGTCTGCATGCGGAGGAGAGAATTTGCCCGTCTCCAATAATCACCACACTTGTTGGTTTATTGAGCTCCATTACTTTGTGTAGACACAGGGACACAGCTAGCGAGGCCCACACCTCGGGAGAGAAGCCGTACTCCTCACTGAAACAACACAACAACATCATTCGTTGGTTTATCGTTTGTTTATCGTTTTATTTGTTTATCGCTTATTTATCGCTTGTTTATCGCTTGTTTATCGCTTGTTTATCGTTTGTTTATCGTTTGTTTATCATTTGTTTATCGCTTGTTTATCGCTTGTTTATCGCTTGTTTATCGCTTGTTTATCGCTTGTTTATCGTTTGTTTATCGCTTGTTTATCGCTTGTTTATCGTTGACTTGAAGTGTAAAGACGGAAATCTAATTTCTGCACCAAGGGAGAGATGACCCCTACCTCCAGGATGTAGAATACTCATATAATAATAATAACATTCTGTTGAGTATAATATGTGGCCCTGTTAGACGTTAGTGTAACTTTTGCTTGATCCCTGATTGTTTGTTCTCTAATATTTTGTATAAACAATATACATTTCAATCTTGTATATATGTCCCGTCTATATTTCATGTTCTCCTCTGGTCTCTACGATCAGCTGACTCCGGGCCAGAAAATCATTATCGAGTGCCATGGTTTGAAACCTTGACAGTCGAGAACAGTTGAGACCGTGTATAAAAATACAGTGACATATTCTGCCCGCCCCTCCCCCCCCCCCCCCCGACATTAATCTCGTAGGTGGTTGTCACGAACTTGCATTCTTTTATTCCGCGGAGAGTTAAGTGTAAATTGTTTAGTTAATGAAGTCATCATTTTCAAGAAGTCCCATCTACTCTCGTAAACATTACACCATCGTTTGTGATACCTTGGACACTACCGTGCAATATGATATTACTCCTAATCTCTCTATAACGTAATCTCTATGTTGTTGTTTTACATTCTAAGGCATTTATACTCGGTACTCATTAGTCAGCGTTTGGTACTTTTGATTTTGGCTTTATGTGGTCACTAGTGTAACCGTGCCTTTATGTGGTCATGCTATGTTAAAACACATGTTATTAAGTTTCATTGTGTTATTAAGTTCATTGTGCTTCGTTTGCTTTATATTTGTTAGTTTGTTGGGGGGAGGGGTGGGGTGGTATTTGAAGAGCTTTATAATTTCTGGACAATAACCACATGTGTAGGGTGGGGTTGGGTGTGAACAGAGTTTGTATTTTGTTCCTATCCTAAGTTGTGTGGGCCAAATGTAAAAGAAAACATAGTGGCCTTGTGTCAATATTGTGTAGCTTTGCTTCTTTTTCCGTAAGCGGATCAACAGCAAGAAAATATGTACACATTACACGTAAATGGTGAGGTAAATGTGTGTAGGACCTGAATGTGTGTAGGACCTGAATGTGTGTAGGACCTGAATGTGTGTAGGACCTGAATGTGTGTAGGACCTGAATGTGTGTAGGACCTGAATGTGTGTATGACCTGAATGTGTGTAGGACCTGAATGTGTGTAGGACCTGAATGTGTGTAGGACCTGAATGTGTGTAGGACCTGAATGTGTGTAGGACCTGAATGTGTGTAGGACCTGAATGTGTGTAGGACCTGAATGTGTGTAGGACCTGAATGTGTGTATGACCTGAATGTGTGTACTGTGTAGGACCTGAATGTGTATACTGTGTAGGACCTGAATGTGTGTAGGACATGAATGTGTGTACTGTGTAGGACCTGAATGTGTGTAGGACATGAATGTGTGTACTGTGTAGGACCTGAATGTGTGTAGGACCTGAATGTGTGTAGGACCTAAACTGTCGGTTTGTAGAGAGTGTTATAGTGCTCATCACAGTGTGTTACACAATTTTGTGAAATATGATATTATTTCTAATCTCTCTCTAATCTTTGTGGATCATATTTTGAAAAACTTCTGGCGAGGAAATTTTCAAGTAGCTGACGATGTTTATAAACATCGTGTCCTTGGACACGTTCATTGAAGTTTGAGGATATATGGACACGTTCATTTGAGTTTGAGGATATTGGTAAACAAAAATAATAGCGTTTTCGACGATAGTGGCTTAATTTTGACATCTATTAACCTAGCACGTTCAGAAGTTCTGAACATTAGCCACGTAACCCATACTCCCATATGCACTGCTCAGAAAGAAAATCTATTGTTGTTAGGTACTATAATGTTTCAAATGTCACATTTTGTGTGACTTAGTTAACTGCAGTTGTCTAATTATCATTCCTTGGTCTGAAATATAGTAGATAAGGTCAATCTAACAATTATGATACAACATTGGTTAAAGGGCACGGATCGAACGGTTACAAGGCAATATTTGGGTAACTTTGTCACACTCAGAATAACATCCCTCTATTCTACTGTGAGGTGTCTTCAAAACCCTTTCAACTCATTATCTGATGGTTGATCTACCAATCATAGCCCTAAAATATGTTGTTTTGAATAGTTAGCTAATACAGGCACTTAGTTATTGGGAAATGAGGTTAATTCTGTCACAATATATGGAATTTTTGGCGAATTATTTATATCTGATTTTGGTTTGAAAGGCGGGAAAACTTTATATGATGACAATGTAGTTGATGCAAGTTAGGATCAGTTGATGTTTACATTGTCACAAAATTGATACGAAATCGTAAATAGGTTAAAAACAATGATTATAGAATGAAACAGTCTATTATAATAACTCTTATAATAACTGATGTGACAAAGTAAACATGTCTTGCCCCTATTTTGAAGATCTATATTCTATAATTCTATTAGAATTCAACATTCTTTCAGAAAAAATTGGTAGAATATTGTCCAGAATATCAGAGCTTAAATTTGACAATTTTAGGTTAAATTCGTCAAAGTCACAAAAAATGTGACAAAATTAACTTTTCCTGCCCTAACAATTTCAAGATAGTGTAAAAATTAGCATAGGCTGCTTTATTACCTATATAGATCAATCCAAACTACAAAAAAATATATGTTAATGTGATGCGCGACGATTACCTAACTCTTATAATAACTGATGTGACAAAGTGAACATGTCTTGCCCCTATTTTGAAGATCTATAACTCCATTAGAATTCAACATTCTTTCAAAAACGATTGGAAGAATATTTTCCAGAACATCAGAGCTCAATTTTAACAATTTTAGATTAAATTGTCAAATAAACTGAAAATGTCACGAAATTAACTTTCCCTGCCCCAACAATATCAAGATAGTGTGTTAAAATTGGCATAGGATGCTTTATTGCCGATATTCATCGATCCAAACTACGAAAAAGATCTGTTAATCTGATGACGATTACCTAACTCTTATAATAACTAATGTGACAAAGTAAACATGTCTTGACCCTATTTTGAAGATCTATACCTGTATTAGAATACTATGTAACTGTATCATCAAAAAAATTTCGATAAACTAGTCATTTTGCCAGCAAGGAGCTAACACATAACAGAGTTATAATAATTTTTTGTGACGAAATTACCCTATTTTTGACCATGTTGCGGTAGTTTAATTGTGACACTGTTAACATATTACCACCGGTCACCGGATAATGATTTATGTGACTGGTGCATGGTACTAGCAGTGTTGTTTGATCCATTATAGTACGCAATATAAGGGGTTTAAGCTGGTATATCATTATTTGTTCAATTTCACACATGTTCAGATATCATCAAGATCATGTGACAAAGTAAACTTGGTTGTGCCTTCTGTGTTTTAATTCCTTACGACTATATGATATAATAACAATTCCCAGCACTTCCAGGCCATCAAATAAACCTACACTACTCAGCATTGCTTATCAGGGTGCCCTAAACATTCATCACATATTTTCTTTAATGTGTGACAGAGTAAACCTGAGTGCACCATCTAACGAAAAATGTCGTCAAATATGTAGGTAATGGTCATATGTACCCATCCAATTAACTGGACACCCAAAAATTTGGTCATAAACGGTGGCAAGGGGTCCATATTTACTCCGTCACATGTTTATAGTGTGACAATGTAACCATTACCGTGCCGGCCGTATTTAAGCGATATCTTATCACCTGATTAAGATATCGTTATGTGACAAAGTTAGCCTGGAGGATGAGACGATTATCCTAACCATCAAGGGTTTATGTAATTTCATAGTGTGACAAAGTCAACTACACTGTGCCTTTTAATAGGGTCACTTATATTTACCAATATCCTCAAACTCAAATGAACGTGTCCATATACATACCTTCTAGCCACTCTCTTGCTACTCCAAGTCACCTATGATATCTGGCCGAAAGGTCGTTCTAGTTATATATAAAATATATTTTTGTTTGCTTTAATTGATATCAAATACAATTTTTGTTTCCTTGAATTGTTTTTTTCTTGATTGTTTTGCAACAATGTTAATTTTCAATCGGTCAATAATATTGAATAAGTTATACACATTTGTGTATAACTTATTCAATATTAATTAATTGTTTGTCCCGTTATTCTTTTTCCTTCCTCTTTTCCTTGTCATCCCCTTTAGTTTTAAGATTCTTGCTATAAATGGCTACAGCTAACACTATTAATGCTAAGTACCAAACAACAAGTGGGAGGTGGATCGTTGGTACCATTAAATCGATTTAACACCGCAATTCCAGTCGCAAGCCTGGGACCACTACTAGCATAGTCACAACATCTACAAAGCTGCCATATAGCCTGACTGACAATTTTCTCGACTGACTGACAATGTTTCTTCTTTTTCCCATTTAGAATACAAAGATTAGTACATTTTAGCTTATGATTAATATTATATTTTTACCTATAGTTTACTTAGATTGTCTATTTTACAGTTATAAAATGTCCCGGACTAGCATCACCTGACTTAACCAGAATCGTGCGAAGTCGGCCACTACTAGTTACAGTAAGTATCATCTCTAACCACTGGTAGAGGTTCCAAAAATTGATATGCGCAATATTTGTATTATATTAGTAATATATACAGTAATATATAGTATATTAGAGATATACATAATATATTAGTAATATACTGATATAGTACAGACAGAATAGATCTGTCTGAAAAAATCGATTTCCGACACAAGAG